TTGTACATTGTGAAATGGGCGCAATGAACACAATCAGACTACTTCATATAACACAATTTTTAATTTCATACAATACTTTCACTTTCAGTAACAAATCCAGCAAAATAACCAGCACCAATGATAATACCATATTCCGATTAAACTTTTGTACCAATAGTGCCTTTAGCCAGGCATCGCCGTCTTAAAATTAAAATCGACCAGCCCCCACATACCGAATATGAGTAGACCCAGTGCGATCAGTGACTTTTAGATATGTTATTGAAATTGGGAAACGTTTCGTAATAATATACTTTGAGTCGTAATTACTTAGCTCTATTAAAAATATGTCCAATGTAGAGTCATTTTAATAAAATTGAGAGAGCGTATTTTTAATAACAGCGTATCTTTGGCCAAATGAAATATAATCAGGCGAAAACTGTAGTAGTCCATATAACTGAAAATCAGACTTTAAACATCCGGCTGATTTAACCCTTTTATAGTGTTATATATACATTTATAAAACTGCTTGAAAAAAAGTCTCAATTATACTCGAGCAATATCAAAAATTAATCACCGTCATAATATGCAAATAGCTATCAGATTGCTTCTCACTAAAAATTCACCATGGAGCTGAACTTATAGTTAGATTCAGCTGCTAATTAAGACCCTTGACATGGAAACTATCCTCAACATAAAGCTATGAACATTCCATTAGCTTAGAGGTGATTAAACTTTAAAATGAAAATTTAAAAAGAGTGCTTAAAATCCGTTTGTATCAGAGAGATATCAGAGGATCTCAGCATCTCTATGGATCGACCAGCACTTTTGTTAATGTTTTGCGTGAGGAGGATCAATGCTAAACTCATACATAAAGTCTTGAATCTTTGACTAAGCAACGTCGATAGATGGCACGGTTAAAGCCAAGACACTCATTTTACATACTTGGCGCTTTATGTTACATAGCTCAATATTAAAAACGCACACCACATTAATCTTATTAAAATTTTGGATGCTCTTCATTATTAATTTGAAGCATGTTCGCGCTTATCTGCTCTGTAGTATTTTCATTTTACTTAGCTTTGATTTAAAATTGTGCAATCTCTCAGCTATGGCACACAAAATTTTGAAATAATAGCTGTAACTCCCGTCAAGTGGTAAACAATGGCAACTCTGTGATTGCTGACGTGGAACGTAAGTGCGTCAATTCACCCGACCACCTGCAATTTGCAGTTAGAAATACGAATACGATTTAGGTGAAGAAGCAAAAGAAGCCGTGCTTCATTATGGGTTCACAAGAATTTAGATTTTGCAGCATTAACTCAGCACGAAGTCAGCATTAAATGACGCTTAGAGGCGCCAAATGCAGGCATTTCAATGGAGACAATTGGGAAGTTATATATGTCGACCAAATGATATTGCGGTATTCTGCCAACGGCCACCGAAGGCCCACTTCTGTGACGAACATCTGAAATATGTGTATTTTCCTCAGCTGATGGGTAGAGGCGCTGACCGCATTTCATCCCATATGCAAGCTCTCACACCAGTCGCACCGCTGCGTCACGTCTACGTCATGATAGCCGCGCACATGACTCTTCCAAACTTCTGTCAATGATGAGGACATACTCGCATAAATGTAGTCTATGCTGAGGATAATGAGGGACGTACTGAAGATAATGAAGTTGTCGGCCAAATCCTAATTATTACGTTAATAATGACAACATTCAACAGTGTGATTTGCTAAAAGCGAAAGCGCCGTTGTCGGTTGTCTTGTTCCTGCTCGGAGTTTTCGGTGAAATTAAAATTCTTAAATTGCTTTGCTGCTGTTGCATTGTTTTACGTCGGTTGTGTTTTTGTTTTGCTGTTGGTCAGATGACTGATTTAATTGCATATAATTAAAAAGTGAGCAGGAAAACAACGAGAATAGAATTAAATCTGAGTTCTACACAGTTGCGAAAACAGCACGCGTCAGAGCGGACGAAGCGGCGGCAAACCATGCACCCAAAATACACGGAGAAAATTGTGAAGATAATTTCTATGGTAACGAATTATCTCTGGTAACTATAGCTGAATAAACTCTAATATTTTTAACACCATTTATTTCGGTGTAGAGTTTCAAAATTTACTTAGTCTGGGCAAAAGACTTGCATTGATTGTCTGTATCAGCTTGGAGAGAGTGTTACTTTCTTTAGACTCACCAACCAACAATCGACCGGCCCAAAACGTGAAATTATATGCTCACCAAAGTGTTCTCTTAATAAATCCTTTGCTTAATGCACTGTGTGGGAAAAGGCGCCGCCTTGTTGAAACTAAATGTCGCCGCGGTTACGAGCTTCAATTTCAGGCATGAAATTACGGTCGCCACAGCTACGTTCTCACCGCCATAATTTTTGAGGAAATATGGACCGATGATTCCATCGGCCCACAAACTACACCAAACAGTTGTTTTTTCGGATCTCTTCGAGTCGCTCTTTATCCCAAATGGGACAATTTTGCTTGTTTACATTACCATAGAGCCAGAAATGGGCTTCCCCGCTGAACAAAATTTGACTCGAAAACGTTGGATCTTTTTGAAACTTTTCAAGAGCGCAGCGTTGTCGCTTGGGAAGATCGAGTCGCTTCAGTTCTTGCGCAAGCTGTATTTGGTACGTTTACAATTTACGATCTCGACGTAAAAGACGCCAAGTCGTTCCGTACGTCAGTCCAAGTTGCTTCGAACGGCTCTCCACGGTCTTCGTGTGCACTGACGTGATCTATTCGGTCGAATATTATACAATAATGAATGCTGGGTCTCAAGATGGGTGAGGGTATTGCGAAAAGTGCGCTCAGTGGGCCGATTATGTTGACCATAAATTGAGCNATATTTGTTGCATTCGCTGCCGTGGAATAAAGTTTTGCTTTGCATGTGTTCCGTTTATGAGTTGCTCGCAGTGAAAGTGCTTGCTTTTTTAAAGGAATAATTCAATTTCGGTTATTATGATTTTTCATATTCTGGTTAATAGACCAGAGTAGATAATTTTTGAAAACAAAATAAAAAATTATAGTAGCATGAAACTCATCGAAAACAAAAGATAAAATAACAAAAATTAAGGGATAAATAATTTACGGGCGTTCTGAGTTTGAAAAAAGGAAAGGTAGGGGCTTGGTTGAATTTCTAAGGTTTAAAAAAATACAGTGTATTTGGGACATAAGAAGGTAAGTTAACTGCAAGTTTCGTGAAAGAAAAAAACTTTCTGTAAAAAATAAAAATTAAACACCACAAAACTTGCTTATTTGAATTCTTCACATAAATTATGAGGTTATGGGAAAAAATTCAATAAACAAAAGTTATAGATCTTTTTAATACCTATAACATTGCCATTTCACTCTTTTTTTTAAAGAACTCGTAGTTTTGACGGAAATCGGGATAAACTGTTTTTAACCCTTAAAAATTCAACCACGCCCCTTCCTTTCCTTTTTGTGTCTCAGATTGCCACTAAATTATTTTTGCTTTAATGTTTATCATTTTATCTTTCGTTTCCGACGGGTTTCAACCGACTATGAGTTTCTTGTTTTTTATCGATTTCAAAGGCTTCTGCACTAAGCTAAAAAGCGAGCGTTGGCGATTGTTTTTGATGATATTTGGATATTTGGAAGATCTAACTTTAATATATGAGTTTACATTATATTAGCTTTAAGGTATAAGCATTTTAAATATTCAAATAAAATATCTTTTGACGATATTACAAATATTCTATTTGCAAGTGCCTCGAAAATTTGTCAAACTTTGTAGGAGTTTGGGTTCTTTTCACGGAAAGACTAGCTTCTACATTTATCTTTTGGCTTCGGCTTTCTTTTTAATAATAATTAATCAAACTGTTTAAAATCACTCGAGAATAACAAACTAGATCACATACTTTGTGGAAAACATCTATAAAAGCTACAAGGACTCTATTTTGTTGATCTTTGGTTGACTGAAAAATCGTCGCAATATTTGTGGATAAGGTCGATAAGGTATGCAAAACATTGGTTTACGAACAGTCAATGACCTGATGAGCTCCTTTATTTTTAAATAGAAGATCTGTTTTGTTATAGCGTCTGCTTGTCAGTTGTTACAGAGGCAAAATTTGCACAGATTTTATGTGGAAGAGTCCAGAGAGGAGCAATAGACCAATTAACACTTCTCTGACTAAGTTTTAGAGCTGGCCGACCAACTAATTTTAAAACATTGGAGAGGAAATCGTTCTAGCTTATTAATGATACTAATCTATAAATAAAGAATTTCAGGTTGGGTAAATAATCAGTTCAAAAGCTTAAAAATCCATATTTAATATAATAATTTTGTTTTTAACTTTATTTTTTATATTATTTATTTTGTGGTCTTAGAGCCAATCTTTAGGTAACAGTTTTACGCCCTGAAATATGTTCTACGCATATACTACAAACCAGTATAATACACAGTCCACATATACGACATTATTAAGTATAAACGAAGTGGAGTGCTCGTGTGTATTCGATTTTTCGTTTAAAGTTTGACCTTGTGAAACTTCGCAGTTAAGAACAAACTGCAAGACTCGTTCTTGCATATTAGTTTTCCTCAGCTAGGCGATTGTCGATAGCAGCGAAAGGCCCTAAAGACTCCAGCAGCAAAATGTCTCCCTCAACATTCATTTACAATGGAACTGCATTGATAAGGAAGCAACAAATGTTTGCGTTGTTGACCAGCTGCTCCGCGGCAGCGTGAAAAGCTTTCAGCGCCAAACAACAACGAAAATTTGTCCCAAAAGTGCAAAGGACTCTCTCGCGTGCTCATCCAACAGGCTATCAGCTACAGCTCATATGCTCTTAAGTGCTCTTCGAAACACAAGCGGAGAGCAAGGCTCACTAACTCCCGCGAAATTTGTTGTGGGTGTTGCTATTTCTGCTGTTTTTCACGACGACTGGTTGTTTGTGTTGGTGCTGCAGCTGCTGGTGTTGGCGTAACAGCAAGTGTTGCGTGTCCATGGCTGTCTAACGTTTGTTGGCTGACAAATTTTTCGAAACGGTTCTATCCACCGTCAGTCTAGGGTAAACGCTTCAGATGGGCACAACAAGTGCGCGCGTGCTAATAATCTTCACACACACAGTGGTTCAGTTCAAGAGCAGTGAAAGTGCTAAAGTGGTGTGTGACAATTAAAACAACAACAACAGCGGCAATATTGCCACTTACTTGGCAAACTCACACACAAATCGCTCGAAAGTTAAGCGCCGTGTGTGTGCCGTGTTGGCAGCCTAGCGACGCTAAAACCGCGATTTCTGCCAGTTTTAGACGCGTCTCAACCGCAAACCGATAATAATCACACCAGACAAAGCTATTCAACCAATAGCGGCGGGTGTGGGGCGGTGCGCCGCTTTTACCTGACACTCTAAAGCTTACTTTCGACTTGCTGATTGTTGCGCCAGTCATTTGAATTTAACGGAAATAAGCGACTTATCCGGAAGCGGAAATTTTACGTCGCATTTTAACGGCAGCTTCGCGTTTGCGTGTTTGTTATTGTAATTTCACAAATTCTTGCTTCCTGCTTTGGAATTTTTCGTGCTTTTTACGCAGTTATTTTGGTGAATCACACGTCAAACGGGAGAAAGTTAGCGCAACGCTTGAGTGGCGTCCTCCGCTACTCGAAATTCGCGCGTGTATGTGTGTGTGTGTGCAAGTACTTCGCACCCGTTTGGCATATGACCGAGCGCTTACTGGGTGTGTGTGAAAGTGTAAGCGCAACGGAAGTGTTAAATCGTAAATAAAGTGGCATAGCTTTGCTAGTGGCCTCAGTTAGTACGGTGCTTTGTATACGGGCGCACCCTCACAGTGGCAATAACGATTTGTTTGCGAAACCTCCGCTTGTGGGGGGAAAAGTGAAAATAATTACAGTTTTGTTTTAAGTCAGCAAACAAGTGAACAAAGTCTATAAGTGGTGTATTTGTATACGAATTATTTTTGTGGTCGAAATTGGTAATATTTTGGTGAAAGTGCGAGTAATACCGGTTGTAACCAATTTAGAACCAATTTAATGGAAATCGATAGTGGCCGTTATGACTTTGAAGAGTTGATAAACACTGCTAATGCCAATACACACCCTAAAGGCTATTAGGAAAAACATGTAACTACGATAGCAACGTGCACGAGTTCCCAGCGATTTAGCAGCACAGTCCCCACAGTCCCACAAGTTTAGTACATTTTGATTGACCCTGGCACGTAAAAAATTTTTTTTTTTTAAATATATACATATATATGTATATTATGAAAAGCACTTTAGATGCCAATCAACGGTAAATTAGTGAACGAAGAAGTGTAATATAATTCTTCGAGAAATATTTTTAAATTGCAATCCCACCCTTAATTAGAAAACGAAATTTTTTAAATCAAATATTGTGAAGATAATCAACCAACAATCTTAATCAACCGCGTCTCAGCTGGTAAATTATATTTTTGAATATATTTGCAAGTGAATTTCGCACGAAACGCATTTGTTTACTTTGCGCTTTGCACTAGTACCAACGCCAATCAACCAACCAACGCCCCATTCCGGCACACCGTCTCCACCGTCCCACTACCGAAGCAGCAAACTGAAAATGTATAACTTTTGGATAATCGTTTTATGTCTAGGATTATTAGCAACCAAGCCAATAAGTAAGTGCAATTCTTGCCACTACTCCATTACACTCGCATTCACTTACATACATATATGCCTATGGATTCACATATATAATATAGTATATATACTTGTATGTATAGTATATCGAGCAAGATAGCTCAAGTGAGTTTGTTTACTTTACGTAAGCTTGTTATTTAACTTTGTTAGTTGCTTGTTTGCATAAAAGCAATTGTAAGGTTGTGACACACATACACGCCAAACTACTAAATCGAATTGAAAGGATAAATGCTCGTTAAATGATTGTTTTTGTTATATTTAAGTTACGGAAGAATATTGAGCATTGCAATGCATAATCGACTGTTTTTCGATTGTCTTTTTGCCATAATTTTAAGGAAAATCGTTTAATTACTTTTTAAGTGTCGCATGGAACCACAAAGTTATAAATAATACTAAATACAGTTTTTAATAATTATTTTTTAAACTTTTTTTTGTTTTTTTTTGTAACATTTTTGTGTATTATTTTTAGTTTTTTCTATTTCTTAAACCGTTTAAAAAGTGGTGAAAAACCCTGTAAAATAAGCCCACTGGCGCTAAGTACACTGCACTCATAGGTGGCGTGCAAACGTTTGCAAATTATGACGTATATAACAACTTTACTTATCAATTTTCATTGGGCAAATAGGGACTAAGAGAATTATTTATCCGATTCAACCCATTTTTGACATACAGGGATACTATTATCAGAAAAGAATTCTCTCCGAATTTCTTTAAAAAATCACTCACAGATAGAACGATATTTTCGGTAAAAAGTACACAATAGGCACTGGGGTATATTGCATTGATTGGTGCTTGATTTGTATACTGATGAGGGAGAGAATCAGATCGAATTTAAAATTGTGTTACACGGAAAGGGGTCTGTGTGATTTCGTCTATTTTCGCCTTGTAATATAAGAATGTTGGAATAATATGGAATATAAGTTATTTGTTAATATACATCCTAATATATATATTATCCTATTATACGTATTTTTTTTTTTGTTGATAATAGATAAACCTTTTTCATATCAGTAAAACTTTCAAATATTATAAACAACTGATGCTATAAGTACCACCACAATAAAATCGGTGCAAGAGGCAGAAAATTTCCTTTCAATAGTAAATGAATCCAATGAAAATCCGATCCAATTCTACTAATAATAGCCAACTTGAATATTTTCTATTTATAGCAAACCGAATTCAAAATTCTTTATAATTATTTTTCACGTCCTTTGTGCTTTAATTGAAATAAAAGTGCATACTTAGTGGTATTTTTATTTTATTAACTATTATTAGCAAAGTATAAAATGAATGGAAAAGTTCTTAAAACATATTTACCCAGCAAATTAACAAGTCATGGCGAAATGAATTATTCATAAAAGCAAAAAATAAAGTTGGACCTCCAACTGTATTGAGTGTAAAATTGTTAAAACCATGACTTTCACTTAGCGGAAAGCTGCAAGTACAAACACTAAGCGCTCATTGACTAGGCGGGTTGTTGAACAACAGAGTTAAGATGTTGGTTGCTGAAGGTTGGTCCATTGCTACGACGGAGGCAGCAGTATTTATTAGCTGCACCGTGGTTATTGCTGTTGTTGTTGTGTGCCACAAATTCGATAGCGTTGCGGCTGGCGGAGCGTTGAAGCATGATTTAAGTTGGATTTGTTGATGCAGACGGAAGACTGTGTTAACTAGCTGACAGTGTATCAACAATGAGTGAAAGCATGAAAGGGCAAGGGGAACCATAATTTTGAAAATGCACTCAAACAATTGAGTCAGTGGTAGTACGGATAGAAAAGTTAATTTTATTAATAAAAGGATTAAATTAGCAGTTTTATTATTGATGAATAGTAATTTAAAAAGGTTTTTACTCCATATTTAAAAATAAAACTGAGCTAAGACATTATAAGCATGCGATTTTTCTGATATTTGCATTTTACCCAAGAAATTCCGGTGTAATTGTATTACATAAAGACTGGAGGCTTCAAGAAACATAATGCACTTAATGAGGCCTGAGATGCGCCCGTTTGTGGTCAAGAAACTTTTCGACCTCTCCTTTCAAAAAAACAACCAAACTATAAAGCCACTCACCTCATATTTACATGCTTTGCTTTTGGAATCGGTTCTTGAAGCACTGTTGCACTAACTCACAATTTTATCAAACAATTTTCATACACCAATAACAACGAACGAACTTTATATTATTGCTACAACAAAGAACATAACTTAAATAGAGTTGCATTTAAATGCATCTAATAACTTTCACAAATTAGTAAACATTTTCACAAATTGTTTTTACGCGCGACAACGGAAACTGACAGCAGCAGTTGACTGGAAATAAAGCTTCTCATAGACAGGGCTGTATTTGGTGCAAATAATTAGTGTAACCAGATGAAGTTAAAAAAAATACTTGCAATAATTTATTATAACATCTTATTTGCAGTAAATTTTTTTGATGTAATATTAGGCCTCTTTTTAGTATTTGTGTAAAGTTAAAAAAAAATTTATAATTATATTTAAAATCTGAGTATTCTGATAAACCTCAATTTTCATTTCAATGATTTTAAACTATGGGTGCAATAACTGAAATTTTGGCTCTATATAAATAATCAGCAGATCATTATTTTATTGAATGAAGCCAAATGTTACCTCCAAACTGATCCATTAATATTATATCATTTTAAGTTTCGCTCTGTCAAAGCAGTACTTTTCTTTCTAACTGAAATTTACACAAATTTTCTAGAACATTTGAAAAATTAATGTTTCAATAATATTTTAATGAAACAAAAATCAAAAAAAAAACTATTTTAATATTAATGATTATGAAACTGAAAAGTGAAAAAATGATTATGATTAACTAAATATTTTATGCTGGCTTCAAAACGTGTGTGAAAAATTTTGCTTGCGGAACATTTTAAAAGTCTGTAGTATTATAATTTTAAAAAAACATATTAACGAAACATAAGCATTTTTTCAAACCTGTGAAACGGATGCTTTGTGTACAACAAGTTAATGAAAAAGTTATTTGGTTATCTTTTATAATATATGGCAATAATTGCTATTAACATGTTTTTTTTAGCTAAAGGCAACCCTTTGTTCTGTCATACTTCCGCCGCCGCTTAGAGAGTTCCAATGTTGCTTTCGCATCGCGTGTGAAAAATTAGACAAAAAGGGTGCATTTATTTTGAAAATGTTAGAAAAGTGCGGTTTTCATCTGTTTAACAACTGTTGAGTATGTGCTCTTGTGCAAATACACTAGCATAAATTTGGCAAATATCTTTGTTTTCATTGAAAAGTTTTGTGTTTGAAAAGAACAATTGTGTCAAGAATATTTGTGCCACTTTGAGATCTTGTTGTGTGTGCCTACTCAAGATTGCATTTATGTGTTCGTTTATAGTTCTCTTCTATGGCGAAGTGGCAGGTAAACATTTTCAAATTGACATACTTAACTAAAAATATTTTTCATTTATATGCATGAACTTCCAAATCTACAAATTATAAATAGTTTAATTGGATGCTTAGGTAAGAAGCTTATTGCAATTTTTTAGCAACATCTTTTGAAAGTTAAATCGTGCCAGCGCCATCTGTGTGACGCTAGCAGTTAGCATTTTTATTTGAACGTTGAAACACTGATTAAAGCCAAGATCAATTTGAATATAATTAATTAACAACTTGGTTATTCGCCGACAGATAATAGGCCACCGAAATTTCTCTAACTTGGCATGTTATAATAATTTAGACCAGTGGTTTATAATTTAGACCAGGTTTGTTAAGGCTTGCTTTTGTAGTTCTTCCTGAATTATTTTTCCAATAAATAATTTCGTACGTCTACGGCTGATCGGTGTTATTACTAAAAGTGCAATCCCCAAGAAATTTGATGATATGAAGATAAAGAAGGAAAGGACCAAGGTACATATGTACATACATATACAAATTAACCCTTATGTTAGTAACCAACTTTACCGATGTATTTTAGCAACCACGATCTGAGTATTATTATTATTTTGTTTATTTTATTAAAAAAATTTGTTTCTAAAAAATTTTTTTCTTCAAATATTAATAGTCAGTGAAAATTTAAAGAAAAAAAAATAACAACATAAAAAAAAAAAAAAATTAAAAAACTAAAAATAAATGAACTCACAAATAGCTTCCTTTTAAGTTAAAAAACGACGATTTGAGAGCTTAAAATGAAATATTGAATTTTTTTTAAGCTATTCACACAAACACACCGTGGTGGAAACCCGGGTACCCGATTACTAGCATAAGGGTTAAGGAAACGATTTTGAAATTCACGAATTGATAGTGCGTAGTAAAGAATCTTTTTTGCTGCGAACGAAATGCTTTTGTTATTGGTAGAACAGATTTTTCGCCAATTTTCATAAATTGGAATCCATAGATTCAACAAAAATTTTGCGTAAGGAGAAAATATGTATTCCCTGTGGAGAGATATTTATCTTAAATTATACACAATCGCGTGAATTTATTAATATATTGAGTATCGATAAAGTGAGATGAACAGCTTTAAATTTACGACTCGATATTTCCTGAACTGTGAAAATGGTTTTGATATTGTCTTAACGTGCAACTTTTTTCGCTACCGAGACAAAGTGGTTGATTATTATGTTGTGAAAAACTATATGAAGCTTGACAAAAGCGTCTCTATATATTTTATTATATTTATAATAACAGTAATTAAACGTATGCTGCTGAAACAATCTGTAAATTGATAAGATTTAGAAAGATCACTTATCTTGTAAAGATTCGCGGCCGTTTGGTTGGCTTAAAAAGTGCTGTGGATGTAGTGAAAGGAACTGATTTTTGCAAGACTATTTAAGCGAATGCAACTGTTTCGATTGAACACCATTATATTTGGTTTTTTATACAAGGTTTCAAATTCAATTGTGTATTATTTATTAGCAAGAAATCTATTAGCTGTTAGGGCATAACAATACTATTTTGATTCGGGTAAAAAAATAATATTTAAATAAACCATTTGAAT